GGGCCCTTTCCAGAACCCCACCCACTTGCTCCAAGAAGGCCGAATACTCCAACCTGTTGTTTGGTGCATAAGCACACACAACAGTCAGAGTTTTCCTCTCTGCGATTTTAATACGCATTGAGGCGACCCTCTCGTCCACCGGGACAAACTCCAACTGCACTGCCGCCAGCCGGGGACTCATGAGTATCCCCACACCCGCCCGGCGCCTCTCACCTTGTGCAACCCCGGAGTAGGAGAGGAACCAACCCCTATCCAGGAGTTTGGTTCCAGAGCCGACACTGTGGGTGGAGGTGAGCCCAACTATATCTAGTTGGTACCTCTCAACCTCCCGCACAAGCTCCGGCTCCTTCCCCCCCAGTGAAGTTACATTCCACGTACCAAGAGCCAGTTTCTGCCGCAGGGGCCTAGGCCACCAAGGGCCCCCCTGCAATCTCCCACTGCCTGTACGGCACTGCACCACTCCCCCATGCTGGACCTTGCGGGTGGTGGGCCCACATGGTCCCCCCACGTTGCCTCTTCAGGCTGAGCCCGGCCGGGTTACGTGGGCTGCCCGGCCACCAGGCGCTCGCCGAGGGACGCTACCCCCAGGGGCCTGGCTCCAGGGGTAGGTCCCGGTGACCCTCTCCTGGGCAGGGTACACGATCTTCTGTGTCCGTTTTTCATGGAGGGTTTTTGGATCGAGTTAGTCTGGGTCTTCACTCCAGACCTGTTCGCCCTGGGAGACCCTACCAGGAGCATGTTGCTCCCGAGGACTTAGCTCTGAAGATCCCTAGACCACACAAGCCCTTCTGCCACGACAAGTAAAACCGCGATAGCCAGACCATAATTTATAGACCATAATTTAGCACAAATCCATACTGTAGTTGGGTATATTCACTCTGTAACTACTTACTGCTTCACTCTGCATATTATAGATTCTGAATAAGGTCTAATGTCTAATTTTAATAAGCTTTTAGCCAAAATCCTGTCTTCAGCATAGATATACACACCTATGTAGCTATGTATATCTATGGTCTTCAGCTTCAGCCGTTACCATTATTTTGAAGAGCCAGTGAAACCAGAGACCTTCCCCCAGGTCTGATATGATTGGCTTACAACTTACGAGGTCCGATATGATTGGCCGAGCCAGGGATTCAATTTTTTGGTTACGTTATAGATCACTGTAGTCGTGTCGTCGTTTTGTAGTCGCCGCCATGTTATTTTGCCCATATTAGGAACTCTGGGTCTAAGGTTAATTTCTCTGTGGCCAGAATGAATAGGGTTTTCGAAAAATCGCCTCTATCGCCCCCTGTTAAATAAAAATGCTCAGAACCCGAAACATTTTGTCCTGTGAACATTCTTCTCGCTAATATCACTGGATCCTCTGAATTATGAGGTCATTAAAGAGTTGAAATATGAATATTGCTACATATGAGCTAAAGCTACTGCGCACTGAATTCACGTCATTAGACTGGCAGCCTCCTTAAGTGGGTTTTGGCAGTAAACATTTCCACGTGCAGACTGAGGGCAGATGAAAAGGATTCAGAACAAAATCAGCAGGTTTCCCTGCAGTTCTCTGTTCTTCATCTGATGCTCACTGAAACACGATAGATCTTTCCTTTTAGCTTGATTTGAAAAGATCTACAAACGTACCTGCACTCAGGCTAATCCAGTACAGACTCAGCTTACTGCTCACCCCTGATAAACTGATTTAGGCTCTCAGAATATCCTAATTATTATTTTAATGCTGGTAACATTTTTCTGAGGACATTTTCTCAGGACATCAGCCAGCTTTTTGTTCGACTTTTCCCGTTCCACCTTAAAGGTTTCTCTCACTTAACAGCTGAGTAACATTAATTTATTTTTGTTTCACTGAACCAACAGGTCAGTATTTTGTCTCGTTTGCTAATGTTTGTGATAGCTACTCACAGCTGCTGCACTATTTAAGGTGGAACGGGAACATTCAAACAATAAGCTGCGAAAAAAGAAGCTTAATTCAGCCTCGTAGTTTTAACACCGGTAGTATTTTTGATAAGGAGTTTTAGCCTATCAAAATATCCCACCCAGAGGTTGTATTAATGGGTATACCTGTTAATGTGTGCTACAGTAGAACATTTTGATAAGGTAGCACAGCTCGTCAGAGCACCGCCACAGCCCGCCTTAGTTTCGTGTAGCTTAGTGACATCAAATTGATGCACAGTAGCTTTAGCTCACATGTAGCAATATTGGTATTATAGCTCTTCACGACCTCGTAATTCGGAGGATCCAGTGGTATTCAGGAGAAAAATGTACACAGGACAAAACGTATCAGATTCTGAACATTTTTATTTAACACAGGGTGCGATAGAGGCGATTTTTCGAAAACCCTATTCATTCTGGCCATAAAGAAATGGAGCTTAGACCCGGACTTCCTAATAACGAGGACTACAGAATGACGCATGACTCCAGTGGTCTATTGAATCTCGGTTAGCACAGCAGAGGCAGCGCTGCATTAGATCAGCAACAGCGCCTCCCCCAGGTTGCGTCCTGCTAATACCGTATATTGTGAATTTGGAGACAAGATGGCGCAGTTGAATAATGAAGAATAAATGAGAATAAACTATAGATGATTTGAACTAGTAAGGAACGTTTATTTGGGAAGAGTTGGGGGGACTAACATTTAGATGCTCCCTAAAACTGGCCTAGCAACGCCCTTCGTGGCCCTGCTACCATTCCATACACATTATTCTTGTTCAGTGTTTGCCTGATGGTGGGCTAATGACCACTGACATTATCCAGTACAAGAAAGGCAGACCTTAGACATTATTCTGGGGCTCTCTGAGATCTCCTAGAATATTCCTGGAGATTTTAGCTGTGAACACTCCTTTCCACTTCCTCTTCTTTCACTGCCTGACAGTGGAGTCCAAACTCTTTAGAAACTGTTTTATAACCTTGTCCAGCCTGATAAGCATCAACAACCGTGTTTCAGAGGTCCTCAGAAATCCCTTTTGACCGATGTAGGCCATGCAATTACGATGTAGGACAGGGTCACCCAGGATTAAACCTCCTGACTCTGATTATCCTCTAACCCAAACTGATCATTTAAGAGGTTTACATAGTTTTGACAACAAAGTCAATTTAAAAGTGTATAATTGTTTGTGTTATTAGTTTTATTGGGTTCCCTTTGACTATTGTTATGATCAAATTTTAGGACAAACTGCTTTCTCTCTTTGTTAACTTTGGGAAGCTTACATTAAAACATTGCATTAAAACCAACCGTAACTCTGAAGGGTGATTAAAAATAATAAAAGTGTGACTTCTGTGCCTTGTACACACAAAAGTATTATATATTATATTACATGGTTTGTACAGTGTCTGTGTTTCTCAGAACTTCCACCATATTCATGTTAAATACTTCCTAACTTAATGAAGTATTAGGATGTAAGCTCATGCTAGCCTCTTATAGCCTGCAAATGAAAGGGTGTTTGTTAAGGAAGTGCATGAAGCAGGCAAACCAGAAAGTCTGGAAAATATGAAACCACACAGTGATATAATTTCCATTTTACTGTTTTCTTACTTATTCACAGGTATCATGTTGAAACATGTGGCACAGCCTCTCAAAACCTACCTCATTCTGGCTGATAAACCTGGTGAGTCAGATTTGGATGTTGTTTTTTCAATGTTGTGATCTTTGTTTTCTTTTATTCAAATCAGATAAATTTAATCTAAAGTTGTGATGGTTCAAGTGCAGGTGAAAGGCAACGTCTTAAACTTCTCCATCCAAGATGATGTTTTCCCCCATGGAGTTTCCACTCTGCTCCAGCTCAGGTTCTCCTGAGCTCTTTACCTTTTTTACAAATTTGCGCTCACTCCACCCAACACAACCAAATAAATTAAGGCAAGGTCTGCACTCATATTAATATTATATTGATAATTGAGTGATCTAGCAGTCATTTTGGTGATTAATGAAGTGATCATTAACCTTTAGACCCAAACAGAAGTCTAACACTCTTGTGGATTCCCAACGCTTCTCATTGTTTAGTCTGTTCATTGTTGTCAACAAACTGTTGACCATAAAATCGTGGAAAAATAACAGTTACAAGTTTATTTTACTTTAAAGGTTAATCCTACATCCTTGATAAGAAAACAAAATGAAGCAATTAAAATTACCCCAGAGCTGTGAGCCCAGAAATGAAATGAAATTGGCATAGAAGTAGTACCGACTCCTTTTTCTATTTAAAAAAAGCAAAAGAACTATACATATCTGTAATGAGAAACATATAGATACACGGTGGTAATGCCAATTATTATGATGGTTATTGATTATTATATCATTCAAATATTTATGGAGCTGAAATCAAAAGCTGATGCGTTTTGTATGCTTTTATTCAACATTGATAATTTGTTGTTTTCTCTTTCTTTGACAGGGTTTGACATGTCCACCACCTAGCCACACAGAATGGTGAAAACTGTGTTTTTTTGCAACATTCACAGATAAGTCATGTAATTAACTGTAGTAACCCTGACATTCAGGTCTAAGCTTGATAACAGGCCTGGCAGATGGTTTAGCCAGAGATATTTCACCTCAATATATTCCCATCCATCACAAGTCCAGTGTAACGGTGCTATAATTATCTGTTATTTTACACAAAAATAGAATAATGTTTACTGAGATAAGACCGATAAGAAATTGAAACCATGGAAAAAATTCAGATTGGAATGTCCATTGGCTCTGATCCCATTCACCTTTTGGGTGAAGTTGCTTATTAGCTTCTCTTGGATTTGAAGGCCAGCCAGTGTACGCAACAGTGACAAGGAAGTTGCGTTATTGTCTCGTGGCAACTGACCATGCCTTTCATTTCCTCAAAAACAGGTTCACTCGCCCACGATCAAACCCAGTTTAGTTCTCCACTGTGAACAATAAGTCAGATCAACTTAAAATGATAAGGAATGAAGGCTAAAAAACACCTTTTGGCTACATTGAATTCGTCTGAATTATGAATTCATCATGAAAGCAAAAACAAATGGAAACAGCAAGTATATAAAAGTATTTACAAAACATTAAGTTTATTGGAAGTAATAACATTCAGAAATACACTTTCACAATAAATCAGTATTTGTATTAAATACAAGCAAGCCAAAATATCCCATAGGGAGTACAGCACTAGAATGAAAACACACACCAGAAGAAAACCTTCCCAGATGAAGGTTTAAGTGTGAACGTAATGCCAACACATACATTTAAAAGATGATCTATTCTCAATGATCAGAGTACTGTGAAACATTCAGGTGGGGGTGTCAGTCTACTATACAGGACCTACAGAATGTCCTCTTGAACTTTTAGCTGGAGAAATGCATACAGTGAGCACCACTGACCTTTGATTCTTGATATAAAGATATAAATAACAAAGAGTGCAACATAATGGGAGAGCCAGTGATAAAGTCCAGGGGGACGACAATTCTCCTGTTTGTTTTCTCTTGTCTCCTTTTTAATATATTGTTAACCAACAAAGTCAGAAAAAAAGAGTACTGTGCGAACAATGTAAATGTACCCTCAAAGGTACGAAAAAAAAAATCTGCTGTCAAGATGGGGTGTGTATGGACTCCATGCAACTTAAAAAAGAGATCTGCAATAGAATATGGTACACTTATGTTCCCAAACTATAGTGGCAAACCGTGACCATTAGAGTTAGGCCTTCTAATTTGAGCCATACATGTCAAAACTCAAGGAAAAAGCCATCTCTGTGACAAAGCTATGTTCTGCTAGCGTCCCTACGGGATTCTAGTTGTTTGTTAGCGCTTGGCAATTTGCATGAACATGTTCTGACAGTTCTAGATTACACAGACATTTGGAGCTTCTAAAAGACATTCCTTGTTTTACTTAAAGCTTGTGACAGACAAGTTAGCATATATTATACCATGTAGCAGTTTCACAGTGACACTTTCAGTAGTGAGCACTGGTATAGAACTGCTGTTTTCCATTTCTAACAACCCACTGATCAGGCTGCCACTCGTATTAACAGTCAGTGATGTATCTAGGACTTCCTGAAGACCTAGAGTACCATTTTGTCTCACAATACTGGTCCTGCCATTTGGAGATCAAAACATGATTAGTTAATTTCACTGTCACTTCCTAATTAGGCTGATGATTAAATGGTCAAATGCGTTAGACCTTCACTTCAGCTCTTGAACCAATAGGAGAGCTTGCTTAGCTAGACCTGCCTAGATAACACAGAGAAAAACAATTCTTAATTGTATTATTTTCTGTTCAGCAGTAGAAGAATTTTCCATCCAGAACAACAGAACAAGAACAGTAATGTAATACTTGAGTTTAAATATAGGCATGATTTTAGTGAATAAAAAATGAACTAAACATTTTGGACATGCATTTTTAGTTCCCACAAATCATTAGGTCTTCTCTAAAGGCCTAGAAGGCCCCGAGAGTTCCCTTCTGCCTGACTAAGCCTACTGAAGACAAACGCCAGTGACAATTTAGTGCCTGTTTTTATTAGAGTGTATTTACTTTTCCTTTCTTGTGGTAGGCGTTACAAAATGACATAAAACACAAGGAGACCTGAACGCGTTTTGGAGCTCTAAGAGCTGTTCAAGCCTTGACACCTTTGTACTTTCAGTAACTCGGCACTGTTTTGCAACACCTCTGCCTCCCCAAAAAATAAGGAATGGTAAACGCAGGTTTCGTGTGTCAGCTCTGACTAGTTTTTCCTGTTCCGCTCCAAACAGCAATGCTTACTTTAATATTAAAACACTGAGAGACAGTTCTCATGGGAAATATGATTGCTTATAACCACAAGTGTTGTCAAACTACATTCACAGTATTCACTCCCTCGTCGCAAAACGTTCTGCCTTTGTTCACTCGATCAAAGCAGAAAATAGAAACCGATGTAAATGCCTGTGATAATGTACAAATGTACATATAAATACAGACGGAATATGTTACAATGGTCAACATCAGTAACAAAATTCCTAATGCCCAGGATCAATCATGTTGATTGCATTCAGTCCAAGGTGTCTTCATAGCAAAGGGCCGCGATAAATAACGGCTCACATGTGATGATGTTACTTGATGATGTTCATCACACGGGACTGAGTTCCACTATGGGCAGTCCTGCCTGTGGATCCATGAAAACCTGTAATGTTATTACAGGATCTGAATTAAAGCACTGAAGACATCTCAGGAAAACCAATATCATTTTTTGTATTTTAACAATAAATTGGCCTTTAACAAGTTAAGAGAAAGTCAGTGAGTTACTAGCTGTGAAATGGCTAATGCTGACTAAAGACTAGACTTTAATGTTGTAGTTAATTCAGGAAAACTCAAAACCTGAAAAAACTGAGGCAACAGATCAATTTGAAATTCTTAAAAATAATTAGTGGCAACAAGGTGTAATTTAAGTTATTAGAATAATATCTTCACCATAATAGAAATATTATTTTGTACCGTTCTTTGTATCTTCTGACGCTGTTTTCTGAGCAGCAGGGCCCCAATTACTCCTGAAACCACTGCAAGTAGTAACAGAACTCCAACCAAGAAACCTGCATGAGGCTTCTTACTCTCTCCTAAAAACAACAAGGTCACTGTGACTTTTTCATTGCATCATACTGGTAATAATATATGTCACTGTCGGAACAAAACCTTGTGTCTCTATTTTTGTTGTTTTTCATTTTTTGACATTATTTGAAAACACTAGGCTTACTTCATATGTGACTGTTTCATGATGACTAGACAAACAGAAATGACCCAACATTACTTGGAATACAATATTTTTACATAGACTTCCATTGGAAGTTAAGAATTTGTCTTCCTTCTCCATAAAAGTTTTGAGATACTAGGTTTTATTCCAACAACAACAATACAAAAATGAAATATGGAAAAATATCACCATGTGTACTGGAGAAAGTATATGTATTTCTATTTATTTAAGTCCAAATAGAAAGCTTTTAACACATTTTTAAAACCCATTTAAATGCTGTACCTAATTATATTACACATTTTTAGTTATAGATATATGAAATGCATTAATCACTGTGTTCTGTTCTGGTCAAAATAACCCCAAATACGTTTATTTACTTAAAGTGGAACCATTCTATTTTTTTTTTTTATCAGCCAAAATAACTAAAAGAAATAATAATGAAAGATGAAATAATGAAAGGTTTCTTGATGTTGTACTCACCTGCAGGCGGATCTGTCGAAGGATTACTTCGAGTTTTAGGTTCTGCAAAGAAGATTGACAGCAGATACTTTAGACAACTATTTAGAATTACTATATTACCAGAATTACTTTATTGTGCACTAGTTTAAAATTTAAAGCATCAAAGTTCAAATTTTAATTACGTACCTGTAACAGTCAGATTAATATTTAGTTTATTCATATCTTCATCTGCAACAAAAGTATAACACGTAAAAATCTTCTGATCTTCAGAGGAGACTCGGAACAGAAGCAGAGAGCAGTTTCCTTTCTGATTGGGCATGAAGAGGCGACTCCTGTCCTTGAATGAATCAGCTGGTGGTCTGTTGTCCTTTACCAGAGCACTATAGTGGTTCACCACAATTGACTCATCTATCTGCCATGTCACTTGATCAGTTGCTTTAGAGCAGGGACACGGTAGGAGCACGTTTTCTCCAGCCAATGCAGTCATTTTTAGCTCTGCTGCAGTGCTATCTGCAATGTTGAGAAATGGAGAAATTATTTATTCACTATATTCAAATGTATAATATATTCAAATAAAATGTAAAAATGAACCACTGAATCCAAATGATTACTTGGATTCAGCCATTAGGTCACATTAGCTTTTGCGCACGAAAGACGCAGACAGATTCCGTTCCATTGACCGCCTGACGTCAAGTTGTGAGAAATAGTGCTGATTCGACATTTCCATTTCATTCAAGCCTTTCAGCTGAATGGCGGCAGTGTATCTTTACAGTACTGTACGGTAAATTAGCAGAAATGTTGAGCGTAACAGTAAATGTCATTAAAGTGTGCGGTAATACGCCACATAGTACCACTTTTTTACACAATGTCCATTTATAACTATAAATATAGCAGACTAAATGACATTTTTTAAAAAACGCTAATGAGGTGAAAAAGAAGAAGCGAAAGTGGCCCTCGTATGTCAGCTCATTAGTATTCAGACTTTGTTTTCAAGCTTCAGTTCCTCCTTTTCTCTGTACAAGAATATAACCTTCTTGTTTTTGATCACAAGGGCTACTTCCTCATTGCAAGGACTGCGTATTATCACTCTCTGTCTGTCCTCTTTATCTCATTCACATACACCAAAAAACACATTCACACAGTATCAGCTCACTTTAAGGGAAATTCCACAGATTTTTCAGAATGTTCGCATGATTAAATGGTTAACATGTAAACATGGTCATTCGGTGTGGTCTGATCTGAAATGCTCTGTTCTAGAGAAACTTACCAAATCAGAATTGTTTAAGCAGTAGTGATAGGAACCAGACATCTTTGTCATTTTGTTTTATGGTAGTTTTATGATGAAGGTTTGCCCTGAAACATATTTTTAAAAGCCATTCATGGTTTAGAGGTACATGCAGAGCATTGTAAGGCAAAACAGTCCTCAAAGGAAATGTATTTTTTCAGATTTTTCTATGATGAACAATTTCACATCAAACCTGTCCGAATGACTCTGTTTATATCTCAATGACTGAATTATACAGAAATTTTGGAAAATCGGTGGAACTCCCCTTTTAAGGAATCTAACCCTGGACAAACACCTCACTCTTGATACTGCTTTCGCTACTAGTAAAAGTGTCTCAGTGATTCAGAGCAGAAATGGAAAATCTGAGTCATCAGACAATCTGAGATTACTCTCACAAAACAAACAATCACAACCTTCATTCATTCAAATAAGCACACACCCAGAATAACTGCGTACTGTAAAAACGACACTCACAAGACAGCAGAGTAGCGGATTCATCCAGCGCAATTCATTTTGACACGTGCCGTGAAAAGGAAACATTTCTGTCACTGGGTCAGGAAAAGAATAACAGACTGTGTTTCTTATCTACCATGCGCCTCACAGGGAAACTCACTATTATTTATTTAATCCAGATTTTCCATGACACTGCAGGAACAACCACTGTTTGGACTACACTGTCCAAAGTCTGATATCTAAAGTTATGAACAGAGACAGACTTACCCACTGCTAACATCACCAGGACACACATCAAGTTAGCAGTCCTAAAGAAAACAGAATAGGCCGGTTGTAAGACATGTCACAGGCTAAGCATGCGCTGATGCAATTTCTGCTCAAGCTATGTTAACATGGCACTTCAAACTGGGGCTGAGCGATATGGCAAAAGTAGAACATCATGATACTTTAAGACATTTGTATGATATTTCATTTCTCTCATGAGGTTTGATAAGTTGGAGCTGACACAATGCAGCAGCAGTAGCACAGTTAAAAACTATTAGTGCATTTATTTCACATTCTACACTGCATAAACTGCAGTTTAACAGGACTAATTATCCTCTCTTTTTAATGAAACTAACAGTATCGTGTTTCATTAGTACTACCTCCACAATAGTATCCACAATATGCTCATATATCACTGTCACCTGTAATTTATCATAGTAACAGTAAAGTAACATCATACTGCCCACTCCTACTTTAGACTGCAACTGTGCTGAAAAATCAAAAGGGCAAATTAGTATTTAGTATTACAGTTTAACTGGCTGCACACAGTAGGCATAAGTCAGGCGTGTCCACTGGTTACTTTATGCATGTTGGATCACTCATCACTCCTTCATATGAGACAACTCTTCTTTGCAGATTCTTAAGATGCCATAACTGTCACCACATTATAATAACAGTCAGGTGGACTGTATTTAAGCCTGTAGCTATGTCTACTGAGAGAGGTAAAGGCCCATTTACAGAAGAGGGACCCAATGCGACTACAACTGCAGTCAGCAGCATAATCCAAACTATTATTAGAGCCTTTCTTAGTGTTTGTGGCTCCTAAATTTTAAAATGAAGGTAAGAAGGTAAGAAGGTTATTATTATCTAATAATTAGATATTAGATAATAATTAGATAATAATTAGATCTAATAATAACTTCCTATGGCCTCTATCAACAATTATCAATCAATAACTTCGTGTGGCCTCAAGAGTCATAAAGCACTTGTTTTGATTGTCTTCATTCTAGTTCATCTAGACGGGTTGTTTGCTTTAAGTGGACTGGAATGATTTTGTACGGTCACTTTTCTGCTCCCACGTCCATCCAGAGATTCATGAGCAGCGCTGAGTGTGTGAGAGCTTCTTAACCAGCAGACAGACACTCAGAGCTGCAGCGCCAGTCCAGAGTCGTAAGTAGGTTAAATAACTTTCACTAACAGCAATGGTGGAACAGCCGACACCCAAACTACGATTACATGAACAGCGAACTAAACAAGCAGTAAAAGCTGAGCTGGAGCTGCTGCCATCATTCTAATGAAAACATGTGGAGTAAATTACCTTGACAGCGTCATTTTGCATGAAGATCACGGAGCGTGAGCTGCTGCTGTCAAACAGTCCAAACCGTATGTGATTCCTCAGAGACAAACTGTGGTCTTTTTACTCTCCCTCCCTCCCTCCGTCCCTCCGTCCCTCCCACGTTTGTCTCCACGACTGCGCTCTTTCACAGACTGGCTGTTTATTGGACACGTGCCTGCGTTTTACACTTACAGCCATAATATGACTTACTGACTGACTGCCACACTTAGCACGCAAACACAGTGTACTTTTTCAGCCTCGTTTTATTACTGACAAGGTTGAATAAACTCTGTCACGTTGCCCAACTTTCGCCTACATAAAAAACAGGCGCCTCGATAGAGTAATGTTACACAGCTTTCCCAAAAGATGGCGCTCTTGGACAAGTCGTACATGTTTATTGGACATGTTTTTTCCTGATTCATTTCCTTTTCTCTCATTTCCCGGCTGTGCCTTCATCTGGCAGCCAAACAGACTCTTCTCGAATTTCAGTCTCTAGAATTTCTAGGCCTACAGGTCTGTCGTTCTGTTCACTGTATGTATGACAGCGTGTACACTATATGGAGAAGTATTGGGACACCTACACATTATGCACACACCTCATGACATTCCATTCTAAAGCCAATGTCATTAATATAATATAGAGTTTGCTTTGCAGCTATAACAGGGAAGCTTTCTACAAGATTTTGGAGTGTGTCTGTGGGAATTTTTGCCCATTCATCCAGAAGAGCATTTCTGAGGTCTGATGTTGGACGAGAGGACCTGACTCACAATCTCTGTTCTAGTTAATCCCAAAGGTGTCTGATAAGGTTGATGTCAGGCCTCTGTGTGGGCCAGTCAAGTTCTTCCAGAACAGACTCACCCAACCATGCTTTTAAGGACCTTGCTTTGTGTACTCGGGCACAGTCATGCTGTAACAGAACAGGGCCCTCCCTAAAACTGTTCCCACAAAGTTAGAAGCTTAGGCTTACTTAGGCTTGTTGTAGCTGCTTAACCGTGAAAACACATTCCATGAATCTCCTAATGCGCAGTTTTTTGCTGATGTTGCTTTCAGAGGCAATTTGGAACTCTTTAGTGAACGATTCAACAGAGGATAGGCACTGTGCACTTCAGCACTCTGCGGCCACACTCTGTGAGTTCGTGTGGTCTTCCTCTTCATGGCTGAGCTGTTGGTGCTCCTAGGTGCTTTCATTTCACAATAATAGCACTTTCAGTTGACAGGGCAAATCTAGCAGGACAGAAATTTCACAAACTGACTTGTGGCAGAGGTGGCATCCTACGACAGTGCCTTGTTTTAAGTGAGTTGATCAGTACTACCTATTCTACTGCCAGTGTTTGTCCATCAAGACTACAAGGCTATGTGCTTAGTTTTATCCACCTGTTAGCAATGAGTGTGGCTGAAACACCAGAACTCAATAATTAGGAGGTGTGTCCCAATACTTTTGTCTATATAGTGGATGCATGCAGTGAGTTTAATACCCCCTGTTATTTGGGGGGTGCCATGTTGGCTGGCAACTCCAGCGCTGAACTTACCACAATGGCACTGATGCTTCAATGGCAACAAAATGTTTGGTTTACAATTCTAATTCGGGTAATGCTCTTTTCTAGTTACCTACACACATACACAATGGACATGATAATAAAGCCTTGCAGACATTACTTTTAAATGGGAATTCCACTAATTTGTCAAATTTTCTGCATGATTAAATTGTTAAGCTGTAAACATTGTAAGTCATTCAGAGTGATTTGATGTGAAGCACTCTGTTCTAGAGAAACTTCCAAAGTTAGAATTGTTCACAGTGGTGGTGATAAGAACCGACAGCACATTGAAACAATCACACTGCTTTATGATAGTTTGAGATAAGATTTTGGCCTTAAACATTTTTTTAAAGCCAACATGATGGTGGGGTACATGCAATAGTCCCCAAAGAAAACATTTTTCTCAAATTTACCACTATTTAACCATTATCAACAAAAACTCAAGAGACATGTGTACGTTCACTGGTCATTTTGTAGTTATTGCAGCAAAATTTTAATTATAGACATGGTGACCCCGGTTCCTATCACCACCACTGCAAAGAAACCTGAGTCGCTAACTTTCAACAATTGAAACATGCAAAAGGTTTTAAAAAATCAGTAGAATTTCCCTTTAAAATCTTGAAAAAAAAAAGAAGAATTAGCTGCAGCCTGAAGACAGTACATGTTATGTGTGATTCTGGTTGCAGATTTGACTTTGACTTTGATATATGTCATCTTTTGGTAACATTAACTAATAGAACATATCTCCAAAATGCTTAAAAAGTTAACAGGAGAGCACAAAAACATTCTTTACTTTCAATGTAAATTAATGTAAAGAGATTTTATTCCAAGCAATTTTGGAGCATTTCTGAGGGTTGATTTATCATGAAATTTTCACGCAATGTAAGGGACAGTTGTCATGCTCAAATGATGTAGAAAATTGAAAATGGAAAAAAATGGAGATACATGTTTTTTCTCGGACAGTGATGATACGCAGTGCATAAGCTTAGCAGATTCATTTCACAGATGAAGGTATCATTTCTAATTTAAACAATAGGAAGACACCCTGAGGTGTTGGAAACCTTCTGTAATGAAATATCCTACTCTTCAGTCTCCTGAGACAAATCCCTGGCAGTCCCTCTGTTCTCACAGGCCTGAGGCTTTCTTCATGGAACAGTGAAAAGTGAACAGGTACGCTTGGATAATGCCTTAGGTGGTGCAGATACATATATTCAAATGTATCCAAACACCCCTATCTAATTTGTGAACTGAGCTCCTTTAAGGTTCAGTTTTTATGTGTTCAGTTGCACACACAGCTTGTGTAATCTCCATAGAAAAGCCTTGCCAGTAGAATGGGACACTCTGGAGCATCCACACATGAGTCTAAAATCACCACGCCCAATGCCAAGCATCTGCTAGAATGGTATAAAACCCCGCAGCATTGAGCAGTGGAACTGTGTTTTCTATGCTGATGGAGCTACATAAACTGAGATCCAAAACTCGAAGACCACTTTGAAAATCCAGTATTTTTTTTTTATTTAAACTTGGAAATAAACAACAGGATGTTTTAGAATTTTGACAAAGAAACAAAGAAACGAAGAAAAGTTATGACAATTGAAATGAAGAAATATTTGAAATTCTGCACTATTTCTGGGTCGCTATTGAAATCGAAGCATATTTGTGAAACTGACTTTGTTAAGGTCTTTGCACAAAAAGGTCAGAATTTACTTGGTCTTATCCCTTCCATCAAAGCTCATGGTCAGACGCTCTCAGGTGTATCTGATGTACTCATCAGAGACTTTTGTACAAATGTATGGAGTCTGTGCGTGATTGAAGCTGTCATTAAAGGAGGACATATATACTAAGAAATTCTGAAATTCATGTTAAAGTTTCAAAGATTTTAGTTTTTATTGAAATTGTGCTGATAATATAATTTGTAATCAAAATCATTCTATTAAATTAGAAAAGAATGCAAAATATAAGCATCTCCATTAGTGGTTTCAGACAGACTTTTAGCACCCACTGTATTTCATGCCCATACAGGGATATACTGCATCAGCAGTGAGGAATCGTGATTCCATGTAAAAGGGCACTATTAGGGACAGTTGGGCGATTAACAGAATAGTTGCTAAACAATGCAATGATATAGAACTGAATAAGCACCTCAGGGACCCAGTCTAAAAAAAAACTTTACAACATGTGTGTAAAACCTGGACCCTGAGCAATGAAAAAAGTCCCATTTTTAACATTCCCTCCACATCTGCACATGTTTACATTTAGACAAACCCATAGCATGCCTTCACCCTATATCCTTAATGTTGCCAAATGCTTTTTTAGGATCATGTGCGCTCTACGGTACAAACACTGTTCCCTCAGTTTGAATTCTCACATTCAAAGATAACACTAAGATAATAATAACAATTACACGTGAACACAAAATGCCTTCTATGGTCTCTGCAAGTCTTTTGATCTAAACGTCACTGAAACTTTATGGGAAGCTCTGGAGGTGGAGCTTACAAAATAAATCAGACTTCCACCTCTTTAATTCCTCAAAGATTTGGAGGTTTTCTTCTTGACAAATCTATTTTGTGGTATTAATCTATTTTGTGGGAGGAATAAAAACAGAAAAACACACATTTAAGATGTGCAAAATGTAAAACAACAAAAAATGTTCCTATAATAAATTACTGATAATATATTGTAAATATATTTTCAAGTATACCGATTATTGCTCATTATCTTCTTCCCAAAGGCCGACATAATTAGCTGCAAACAAAGACCGACTGCTGTCTCTCTATATCATTCACCGGTCATCACTGTGTACTTTGTCTTCTTCCATACTGCATGTGTATATCTTGTATAATGTCTTAGCTATTTTTATGTATTGTATGACACTGAACATACATCAGTATACTGTATTACTAACATGGCACCTGCATTATTCTGCACATATTACACTATGTTATGTAGCGTTATTATCCTGTATTATTCTACACTGTGCTGGGATGTTTTAGTAGGCTGGCCACTTCTAGGAAGATTCACCATTGCTCTACGCTCCCTCCATTTGGAGATAAAGGCTCTCACTGTTGTTCACCCGAGTCCCAGGGCCTCAGAAATGGCTTTGTCACCCTTTCTAATACATTTCAATAACTTTCCTTCTCATCTCTTCCAGAACTTCTTTCGATCATGACATAGTGAGCTGCTTGCTGAGAACTTTGCTAGAAAGGCTCTATTAAAGTGATGTTTAGATTAATCATGCCTGGGTTTGTCTGGTTTAATTGATTTCAATTATTAACTAAATTTGGTTAATTGGTTGATTGAGTAACTGGCGGGGGTAGGCTAGGGGGGATTACTTTTTCACACAGAGCCACTTGGTGTTGGATAACTTTATTTTCCTTCAATAAATGAAATGATTATTTTAAACAGTATTTTGTGATTGCTCAGGCTGTCTTTGTCTTATATTAAATTTTGTTTGAAGATCTGAAACAATTTAGTGTGATAAATAGAAGAAATCAAAGAATAAACAAAAGAAATACTTTTCCACAGCTGAGCATTTGTGCATAATTTAATTAATGACAAAATATCACATTTTACTTTCTCTCTCTTTGTGTATATGTACACAAATAGGCCAAGCGCAAAAATTGTAAATAACACAATCTTTACAATAAAGGTAAAGTATCATCATATGCGATAACTTTTCCCTTTAATTTATTTAAATGCTGACTCCACTCAGCACTGAGGGCTTCACACAGTCTGGAACACCAGGCCAAAACCATCATTTTGCCCAGGGGTTGGTGTTTACATGCATATAATATGTTCACTCCTTGTATGATGGCACAGGAAGATCCCTCTCTATATACCAGTCGTGCTGAATGTGTTTACCTCACATACAGAGTTATCAAAACGATCTAGCCTGATACCTGAGAGAGCCATATCCCCCTCCTCCTCCTCCTTCTCCCTGTTTTTGCTGGCCCCACCCCCTCCTCCTCCTCCTCCTCCTTCTCTACTCTCTCCCTCTTTTCTCTTTTCCTACGTCTGCTGGTCAGGTGACTGGTGCTGGGGCAGCTGGACAGTCAGCTTCATCTAGCACATTCTCATAAAGCATTAACACCAGACAGACAGAGAGAGAGCAGATACCAGTGAATCAGCGGATAAAGGCGGACGGACTGCGCATTGGACGTGCGGCCATAAGGAGTCATGGGCGACCGTGCGGCGCTTCTGCTGTTCATAGTCGCGACTTCGTCGCTTGCTGCCGAGGTAAGAAAAGACTGTAATGGAGAGAAGCAGTGTACGAGAGAGCATTTCTCCCTCCTCCTTTTCCTCCCTGGAGCAGGGCTTATCAAACGGCACCTCGGGCCTGCACTGAGGACACACAGCAGGCGTTTTTGTCCACACTCTGCATGTATTCGCTTATAGTTACAGTTATAGTGTTTACAGCATGTCAGGGTTATTCACTGTTGTGTAACCGTGATTTTCGCTTATCAGCTCTGGAGGTGATGGGTGAGGGGCACAGACGATGCACTGCCTTATTCAGAGGGATAACAGGTCTGATACGACGCTGAAGTTTGGGTCGTTTAATGAATTTTCTCTTCCATCATAAACGTTTCGTGGATCTGATGTAGCCGACCGTGTGAAGGGTAAAGGGTGTCTCCGTGTTTCTCTGGCGTTAAAAAAAACACCTAATCATTGGCATCACTTGTCATGTGGCTCTGATTCCTGCGTGTCACGAACAGGAGATTATTTTACTGTAAGCCCTTTAAACCGACCAAAGAGTCGTAAAGCTTAGCCGTCAAAGCCTCCAGAGAAGTAGCTAATGGGAGAACGGTGAAAGTGCTGATGTGCCGTATTTCTCGGTGTGGATTGCGGAGAGATGTGCGGATCAATTGGAGAGAGAGTAAAAAACGAATAAACGAATAACAACACACAAAACAAAGGATGGCCGTGTTAAATATAGACGTTGACAGCGGATCATCGAGGTTATAGTTGGCTTTCTATTCGCCAGCTTGTTGTTCGAATTTTCCCGTTCCACCTTAAACGATGCGGCTGTTACAGTACGACGCCTGGGGCACCAGAATGTAGCTGCTGCACCATTTAAGGTGGAACGGGAAAATTCGAAGAAGGAGCTGACTTCAGCTTCACGGACAGCTCACAGTAAGGCTGCTGAAACCTTAAAGGTTTAGTGAACAAAATGAATCACTTGGTCTTCTTCAGCCTGACGAATTTCAGTTACCTGAGAAGAGTAAGGTTACCTTCGTAGTTAAGAGGCGTTTTGCGAGTGTAGTGTGGACGGAGGGGCTGCGGTGCAGCCGTGTGTGGTGTTGTGTTGTTGTAGTGCTGATGGGTTTGTATGTGGACGAGGAGAAGATGCTCCCTGACAGAAGCAAGATGGCGGCGGCAAGCTGCGGCTGCGTTTCGTTAACGTTAACATTAACGTTAACCCAACACGACATACAGCAGCCTGCCGCTCTCACACACGCAGCTGGACTGCCAGGCAAGGAAATTAAATACGAATTATGAAATTAACGTCTAAGTATCTGTTATGTTTTACCCTGATTTAGTGTTTTTTCCCCTAGTGATGCTCAGCTCATGTAGGCTGCGCCCTCAAGGACGCAAAGCGAACACATACAGTTCAGGATATCACTGTGTACACTCTGTCTTATAAATCACGTAATTATACTGTCTGTTACAAAATAATATTTAGATAAAAACACGAAATAAGCCTGAAAGAGCTTCCTGTAGTTCTGTTGCCACATTCTCTTTCTTAGGCTCATGTTCGGTGTGATAATATTTTGTATCATTTTAAAAGATCTTTGTGCTGATTTGAGTGCAGGAATCAGTTATTCAGCTGCTCTGCTAACCTCACCCTGTTTTGCTGTTTGAACTTGTAGAACCGAGATAATCTTGGTTAAATGATAAGACCTCATCAGTGTAAAAATATTCTGAAAATAGTGTCCCTGAGTTTACTGTAATGAACTTTTACATTAAATAAAGACAGCTAAAATAAAAGACCTCAGAAATAGGAGTAACACTGCAGCTGAACTGATGTTATTTTCTTGGAGATTAGGTTTTCAGCAGTTATATGAGAAAATGACACTGCATTCGCTGTCCAATAAAAAAAAAAGGCAAAAACATTATGTTCAATGTACGTTAACATAAAGGTGTTATTCTAAGCAATCTTAATGCATTTCTTTTGGTCCATCATGAGAAATAAAAACAAATGCTTTTTTGGACAGTGACAACATATTACATTTTAACATGTGGAAGAATATCCACATCCATTTGTAACAAATAGGAAAATGTAAAAGAAATGAACAGCTGATGTGTAATGCACATATTTATTTATTTACTATAGATCATATAAATCGTAATGCAGCATTGATATTTCTCGTTTGTACAAAGCAGACTCCTAATAATGTATATCATAAGAAGAAAGAAAATCCGCAAAAGTGGCATGTAATGTATTTTGGAAAGAAACAGTTTAGTTTCACTCCATGGATATCTGGATGTCTTCATGTTTATCCTTTGGCTTGTAAATAATGTGACAGAATATACAGGCCATCTTATAAATGTATAATAAAGTTGCTCTTCTGTACATGGAAAAATGAGTTGTTCAGTGCATCTCTACTAGAGACTGTTGTCGTAAGGTAGCTACTCCTGCCTGCATGGTATGTTCCATTAGTGCCAGATTTAACTTTGAGTTTGTTCTGTCACCTTTTTACTGCTTCTTACCTACAGCTGTACTTAAAGGCCCTTTGCAGAGCAATACCAGGTGCCACTGGCATCGCTAGCCTATGTCTTTAATAAAGGCTCTGTTTGACTATAAATAGATCTTTAGATTTTGCAGTGGTCTCTGAAGGTGAAGGTAGAGTCAATTTAGACTGTCTGCCTTTCTGTCTCCTCAAATATATTGCAAGCTTTGTGCCTTGTGTATGTGATTGAATTTGACTCTGGCTAATGATTTTATACATTATAACTAAAACTCCACTATAATTAAAGCAAATGCACAATATTGAGAGTGATATATCTGAACTCATAAAAAGTATTTTACCAGTGAAAATTTTAGAGGCACACTGAAAAAAATGGGACTTTTAGTTAACATGATTCAAATGTGTCAGACGGTTGCACAAGAAAAAAGTGTTAACACATTTTCCAGATGTAGTTAACTGAAAGACTTGGTTTGTGTTAATGTAATGCATTTTATTAATGTGCAACTGTTTTACACATTTGAATGTTTTACACTTGTGAAGCACCATTTTTTTCCAGTGCAGTCATTTAAACATAGGCTCAGTAGTATATATGAAGTGGCACACAGCACTGTGTATGATGTGAAGTACAATTGAAACATGAGGATTTGCTTGATTTGGACTGTTGATGTTTAATGTCAAAATTAAAGCATTTCCACTGGCTTAGTAATTTGAATATTATATGTGGCACCAATTAAAAAGATGTATTAACTGAGCGTCTTAACAGGACGTCCTGACCTAAAACTAGCATTTAATATATTACTTGTCATGTTAGGGAGTATTCTGTACCGCAGTTTATGTCCCTCAGCCTCATATCCCCTTTCTTCATCAATGTTCTCTCACTATAGTACCCAGAATGCATTACATAAACGATCATTGGGAATCCCTGTGGTGTCGAACAATCCTGACTGCTAGCCACTGATCTATAGGCTTATAAATACAACCAAACTAGCATTAGTGTAACTTGACAAAGAAGATCACTTTATTCTTTGTCAAAGGCACAATTCAGTGTCTGTGGAATGCCTGCAAAGTGCAGCACACATGGATGTGGAAATCCATTCTCTCCATTGTAATGATGATTTGCAGACAAATTATGTTAACTATCTGACTTTCTTCTGAATTTGCCAGCTAGCAATAACCAAATAAGTAAATAAACAAACAAGCCTTCAGACAACCCTTTCAGCCTTTCAGAAATGCTCCAACAGTTGTATCTTTTTCAAAAGTTCCTCTTATCTTCAAGATCCATCAATAGAAGGGGGTCTTTAAACCAGAAAATCTTGCAGTAGGCTCTAGAGACAGCTGCAGCACTGCTGCTGGGTGCACATATTTGCATATTTACAACAGATGTAGTGATGTTTACATGTTTTGTTTTGGTCGAAGTGTACCTTTAGGTATAGATTTAATCTGCTGAAAACAGTGTCTTCAAGTTCACTGCATTACAAAAATAAATTCAATAAAGATAAATCTGAGTAAACACTGTGAACCTGGATTTTAATTGCTTGAAGGATAAACTTTCAACAATTATGTAAGCAAATGACATTACTTATTGAATTTTACAGTGTGGGAGGTTACTCACTCACACAGCTTGGATGTGGCCAAGCTAACACCATATTAGCTTTTTTGCAGTTAATTGATGCCAAGCTTTTTTCAGAAATTATACTTGAGCTAGCACTATAGCACTATATCTGTTTTGTCAGTAAGCAAACAGTACTTGTCAGACACCACCCTTACTTTATTTAATTACATACAGGTTATTTATTACGCAGCAACAGGAAAATATATTTAGGTGAAAATTACCCAGAAGCCTCAACAACTAAATATAATATAATTGTTTCAGTATTTAGTGTGTCCACCCTTTGTCCTTACTACAGTTTCCATTCTTTTCAGGAGACTAGCTTTGAGTTTTTTAAAGAAATCTGCAGGGATATTTTTCCACACCTCTAGTTTGTCTTAAAAGTTAGTTACATTTCCTGTTTCTCAATCTACTGTCTGTCTCTATTTTGTCTATTTTCTTTTCTCAGTAACAGCTTCTTAACAGCTACACATCCTTTCAGACTCATAGTGCTGAGTTGTTTTCTCACAGTGGAAGGATGGACAAACACCTGTGGATTCTTTTCAGATCTGAAGTAAGAGTGGAGCTTGATTTTCTCCTCTCTCTCAAAGACGAAAGCTTCAGTACTGTTTTTCTGATGGGGACAGTTTTGGTGGTCTGCCAGCTCTTGCACGGTTGTTAGGAGTCCCACTTTCTCAACATTTTTCAATAATTTTTGAGCTCCAGTTTTAGTTTTTTCACTTATTTTCCATTGACTTTCCCCTTTCTTATGCAAGTTATGCATATCTTATATCTTACGATCTCAGAAATATCTCCTGAAAAATTAATAGCTGTACTTAATGGCAGTTTTGACTGGAAATTAAATAAAAAAAGGTGGTCTCTGACTTTTGCACAGTACTGTAATTATCCTGTGGCCTCAACAGTTAAAGCAGTTGTACATCCTTTGCCTAACGTGTGATTCC